GTTGGGCTACAACAGCAGCTGCGAACGCCCAGCAGCTCCTCCATCGCGTGCAGGCTGGTGAGCTGCCGACACCATGGCACTTCAATGACGGTCTCCTTCTCCATGGGTCCCGCATCTTCGTCCCTGACCATAAGGACCTGCACCACCAAGTCCTCCTCTTGGCTCATTCGGCGGGCCATGAGGGAGTCCAGAAGACTCTGTACCACCTTCACGCCGACTTCTACATTTCGGGAGACCGTGCCCTTGTCCAGGATTAGGTGCGCACGTGCAGCACGTGCTAGCGGAACAAGACGGAGTCGCTACAGCCCGTCGGCCTGCTGTAGCCCCTCGAAGTACCGTCCTAGGTGTGGGCGGATATCTCCATGGACTTCATCGAGGGGCTGCCCAAGGTCAGCGGCAAAATCTGTCATCCTCACGGTGGTCGACCGCTTCTCCAAGTATGCGCATTTCATCGCCCTGGGTCACCCCTACACCACCACCTCCGTCGCCCGTGCCTTCTTCGACGGCATCATTCGACTGCATGGTTTCCCTTCTTCCATCATCAGCGACAGGGGCCCTGTGTTCACCGGTCACGTGTGGCGCGACCTCTTCAAGATGGCAGGCGTCACCTTACGCATGAGCACGGCCTTCCACCCTCAGACGGACGGCTAGTCGGAGGTGGTCAACAAGGTGATTGCAATGTATTTATGTTGTGTTACAGGTGATCGACCGCGGGCGTGGGTGGACTGGTTGCCGTGGGTGGAGTATTGCTACAACACCTCCTTTCACACCACCCTGCGTGCCACCCCGTTCGAAGTGGTCTACGGCCGGCCTCCTCCACCGATACTCCCATACAAGCCGGGGTCGGTGCGGACGGACACGGCGGACGCCTTACTCCGCAGCCGCGATGAGGTGTTGACTGAGGTTCGGCAGTGCCTCCTTCAGGCGCAGCAGCTGTCTAAGAAGTACTACGACGTCGGCCACCGCGACCTGGAATTTGCTATGGGCGATTGGGTTTGGTTGCGCCTGCTTCATCGGACCACGTAGTCTTTGAAGCCCCAGGCCAAAGGGAAGCTTGGCCCTCGCTACGCCGGGCCATTCCAAGTGCTGGAGCGCATTGGAAGGGTTGCCTACTGGCTACAGCTTCCAGCCGGCGCTCGACTGCATGACGTCTTCCATGTGGGCTTGCTCAAGCCTCACAAGGGGGATCCTTCGGCTGCGCCTGCGCTCTACCACCGCTGCTGGATGGTCGGCTTCTTCCTGCTCCTGAGCGCGCTCTCCGAGCTCAACTCCGGCGGGGCGCATGGCACGTCCTCATCCAATGGCGCGGACTGCCTAGCGACGAAGCCACCTGGGAGCTCCTCGACGACTTTAGAGACCTCTACCCCAACTTTCAGCTCGAGGACGAGCTATTTGCGCAGGTGGGGAGAGATATTATGACCGGCGTCTACTATAATAGGCGCAGGCCCATTAGTGGCTAGAGGAGGACGCCGGTTATAAGGGCTAAGAGCCCATATTCTTATTATTAGCTATTTATGGTATTTGTTCCTTAATTATAGGATCCTAGAGAGGATAAAGACTCTATAAACAATTGAGATTGGAATTAAGCAGAAGCAACCTAATTGTTGCCGGCTTCCCTTGGGAGCCCTAGCCGCACCTTCTCTTCTTCCTTGTGCCGTGATCACCATGGCGCCAACCCGCCACCGCTGCCCTAAGCCTCGCCCGCCGCTCTTCCATCCCTACAACCTTCGCAGCAACCCTAGTAGGGCATCTAGTCTTATCATGCACCCTCTAGAGATGGCCGCTTTTGGCAAGAAATTTCTTCCAATGGCCAACCTATGCACTCAAAGTGAGTGAGACGAGGGGCAGCAATAGCGAGTCCTTTGCCTCGACCAAAGAAGCCATGAATTTCTAGCGTTTTTAGCATGTTTGATTTTATAAGTTCAAGATGCTATGCAGAGTTGCTCAAATGCACATCCTCTAGGCCAGGGCTCCCACTAATGATTTGCCGAAGAGACAAAGTATCCACCTCCACATCACAGAGATTCAACTTTTTGAGGGAAGGAAGACATATTTTGTCTGGCAACATAAGCCCCTCATGCTCAAGATCATCTTCAAGAGCTTCTCCCATCTGTAAATTTAGCTCCTCAAAAAATGCAATGAGGTAGAAAAGTCTTGTCATACCGACCCAGGTTCACATCTAGCACTTTGACACCATGATTCACGGCATATTGAATCCACGTTCTCACATCCTTGAAGTTTATGAGATGGTAGCCTTTAAAGCACACCTGGAATTTATGCAAGTCTACATTTTCACGGCGGAGCAACATGTTGTTGACGACGCGGGCAAACTTGTCATACTTCCAGTGTTCATATTCTCCATAGTTGATTCGTATGGATCCATCTGAATCCATAGCAGCCCTAACTAGGATTCCTTACCACACAAACCTGCCACGCAAGCATTCCACAATTAATACATTAAACGATGATTGACGGGGGAAATAGAACAGCCCAAACATTTCATATATTATCTTTACGTCAATATGAAAGTTTCGATTGTTTAGCTGGTGGTCTTTTTGCATAAAGGAATGAAATCTGGTAGTACATCATACTAATTGTTATTTTAATTGTTAGTTGAGAGCGGATCCCAGAACCCAAGTGGTGTGATCGGAAGAGACGGACATGATTTGCCCGTCGCAACTTTGCCCAAACTCTAAACTGTAAGCGATTATTGCCGAATCTTGCAAGTCACTAAGCGATTACTGCCGACTTATCGCAGATCCAAAACTTCAAACCATGAAAAGCTAGGGTTTTTTTAAAACGGATACTGTTATTTGCTTATAACCAAATAAAAAAGATCTTTCTAACAACCACGCAAAGAGAAGGTATTCAAGATTCAAACTTGGCACTTTTGCGGAGAGCAGCAATTCGCTTGCGATGAAAATGAAACACAATGGCGCACAGTAAAGCAAAGAGGGGAGATGAGATTTCGGGAGCAAGAACACGCTACGATACCAATGCTATCACAAAATGCGTGCAAGTAGGTTGGAGGAAGGTGGATTTACTGGCAATGGAGAGTATGCTTCACTCGAAATCGCCTCGATGGAAGCCACCGCCAACGCCTGGCTTCAGGTTTATCGTTTGGGGGTTTATAGGCGGAATCGGGTGACGGGTGTCAGGTTTACGTGCTCACAGCGAGTTACAACGGCCCAGGCGAAAAGCGAGCAGAACCAGACGGGGATGGCCGGATGGGCCTCCACGACGCTGGTGTCTGGTTACAGATTACAGCCGAGGAGGTAAAACGGACCGTGCACCGGAAACCGGAAAGCTGCCGCCATTTCGCGATCACACGTCCATTCACTTTTCTCAATATTTTTATTTTCTCATTCTCGCTTCCTCCCCCCCCTTCTTTTTTCTTTCCTTTTCTCTTTTCCTTTTTGTCTCAATCTATTCATTTTCTTCTATACACTATGAACAAATTACTAAAAAAATTGCACACGTACATGGCTACACTTTCTATCCTACCAGTGCATGACTACACTTTCTATCCTACAAGTTGAGTTAGGTCTAGCCGCCATGCAAATTGATGTTGCATCTTATATATTGTTACGGTTTGCAAAATAGGGCAGTGAACTGTTTAATTGTAACAATCTGGGACTTCTTAAAGTTCGCAAAATATAGGAAAGTAAACTGTTTAATTGTAACAATCTGGGACTTCTTTTTCATCTTGCAGGATTATAACGTTGCATCTAAGCCCGCTAGAATGAAGTGATTAGGAAAAGAGGGGAAATTCAACTCCGGGTGACTTTTCTCCCTCCCTCTTCCTGAAAGAATTTATGTTCAACACATCAACTGAATGGTTGGATCTTAGTACATACCCGTTCAATCCATACGGTGGAAAACACAACACATTTCCGTTCTTCCGGAGGGTCAGTTGCATTGATACATGGACATACTTGTAAATGTATTTAACCTGCAGACATCTGGAAGCATGGCATCACCTAGCATTCACCATTTGCCAAAGTTTTTCTAAATCAGTTCAAGTATTCTGAAGTACATATGTACACTGACAACATAGCTAATGTGTTTGGCCAAAGCAAAAGCAAAGGTTCGGCTAGTTTGCCCTCTGATAATTGGATGAACACTCTAGGCCAAAACTTGGCGAAAGTATCCACAACTTAACTAGGCCTACTGCACAAATCATGCAACGATTACATTCATGAGACGGTTCTTCGCTTCTTTCTCCAATCTTGACCATTTTTTTTGCCATTAAGGAAATCCATGAGGGCGAAGGGGGCAACAAGACCTATAGTTGTGCAGTTGCAAATTGGGAAGTTCACAAAGCTTAAGAGACACAGTGGCATGCCTGATACATGTCAGTAAGTCACTGGATGTCTGTCATCAGCAGCAGCAGCAGCAAATTAATCCATGAACTGCCTACAGCAACAGTCACCGACTCCTTGGTTTGATCCGGTAGTACTTCACACCATAACCTATTGTGGAAGTGATTGTCGTAGTAGCTACAAGCCAACTGCAGGGGGAGGGGGTCATTTAGCATAATACCCAATGTTAAAAAAAGTGCTAGGTGATGCTAGGCATTTGCACTTTCTGAAGATGGCTACAGTAATAAAGAAAATCTAGCACATCAGAACAAAAAATTAATGTTATCATGCATCCATACATAATATGACCACAGTTCATCTTTCTCCATCTCTAATCTGTCCCATTTTCATGCACAGATTAAGCCCAACACCTTTACACGGAAACAAGCCTAGACAAAACGCCTAGGTGCTAGGCGGTGCAGCTCGGCCTAGCACCTAGGCACCGCCTGTTTAAAAGGAGATAACACCATGATTTAAAATAATAGACATCATTTCATTAGGCATTCAAATAGTTACTTCAAGTATTATTCTGCAGTATTTACAGACTATAGTAGGTGCATTGTAAATAAACCACATTTACCAAACAAATGCTCATGTGAGGTCAACCTTTGTGTTACACCGGGTAAACTCATAGTTTAATTAGTCCACTCTGACATAAGAACGCATGCAAGCACATAAAGACAAAGACTAGAGAAACAACAGTTGAAATATGGAAAAGAAATCACCTCAGGAGTGTAATGTAATTCTGAGTTTCCTCTGTGCCAAATTCTGGCTGAAGAAGTGCAGCGGCAACCAACATCAATTGGAATACTGTGTTCACCTGCAATCAACAACTATTATCATGTTTCCACCCGATAGGTCAATAAGCATACAGGATTTAATGCTGTGTGAACATAGGCATACCTTGCTGATGAACAGAGGCTCAACCTTTTCGCGATGAATCGCATCTAAGTTAACAAATTCTGACCAACTGCTCCACTGCCACAAATTCGTAAAGGACATTCAGCTTAATTGAAAACCTTCCACACTTGATGAATCACAAAAAAGCATATATATAATAGTACCTTCCATCCCAGACTAGAAGCCCGCTTGTAGAAAGCACCACCCACAAGAAGCAAGTCTCTTACAACAACGAGGCCAACAAGACCAGCTTCAAGTGAAACAAGCAGCACACAAGTTAAAATATTGATTAAAACCAGAACCTTCAGACAAATACAAATATAATGTCAAAAACTATGAGCTATTTTACTAAGGAAATTTTGCAATACAAAACAAACATATTGATGCTTGCTGATCTACTCACGATGTAAAAGATCTTTTTCAACCATGGCAACAGCAACACAGCCAATCAAAACCTAAGCAACACCATAGATATTGCACATCAGCTTAGCAGCACAGTTAACATAGAAACAAAAATGGAAAGTGTCGGTTTAACCTTGTCAGCCAGAGGGTCCAAATATGATCCAAAGACAGAATTGATGCCCATCTTTCTCGCTAAAAAGCCATCCAACTATGTTCAAACAACAACGTAACAGAAGAAATGAGTAATATTGTAATGGATTTTGCAGTTTTCAAAGGTGCAATTCTTACCCAATCACTTGCACCCGAGACAGCCAATGTGGCAAAGGCAGGAAGATACCATTCATTCACGATCATCCTATAGTGCATGGAGTTCATAAGAAAAAAAAAACAGGACCATAGAGAAGAATAGAGAATAATAATGTACAGCATAGAGAGCAAGATAAAACATTGAGGACAGAAGAACCGCAAATTCATCAAAATATCCAGAACAACAGAACCAAAGACAAAGGTCTAATTTGACTTTTTCACAAACATTCAGTAGATGAGAATGGACAACACAAAGCCATCAAAGAGATGGCGCAATGGTACCGATAAGCATAGAGATTGATGTGTACAACTAGAATAGGCCTCCAAGAATTCAAGCTATGTTGAAGCAAAAGCTGCAGCTGATTGCCTGATCTCAGCATTAAAAAATGTTGACACATAAGCTGAGCCATTTGCGTTATGAAATATCACTTTGCATGCAAACAACCCAACTTTAGTGCTCCTTCCTAATATGTGCCAATTTGAACGATCAAATTGAAGCACATGTTTATATGACCATAGGTAACATCATTAAATAACTAACATGTTTCAACTCCAAAAACCCATAATCCTCATACCCAGCCGTTGATAGAGTGTGCAAGCCTTGGTGACCAGATATTCTAATTAAAATCCTGGAGCAGCTCTACTTTAGAGAAATAGGCCGGCTCAAATTGTTGATCTGGATTCTCTCTGTCTCCCAATTCAAATATTCCGAGTTCCCAATCGTTAATCAATAGATCCATACACACACATCATTCAGGGGTACTGGCTCTGGCTTTTTAAGATCATGGTACATATATGCCATCAACTAAATAAAAACAATTAAACAGTGAGATGGTTCCTGGAATAAAGGCAAGGTCGAAATGAAGAGATCATGGTTATTTATGGTTCAAGTTTGAACCCTCCTAGTCCTAGGTGTCAGACCAACTGCCAATTGCCGAACCTCTAGGCAAACTATCACCACGCTGGATACAGCTCTAACTGAAGGTAAACACGAAAAACAGATGAGAACACTCACCATCCAATGACCGGCCCTGACACCATCCGTCCAATCGACACCAAATTGGGCGCATTCAGAAACCTCTCACCTCCACATCCCACAGTTCCCGAAGACGCAGCAACCTCCGCTTCACCCCCGGAGATCCGCCTGTGCTCCCATCTCACGGCGTCCGCGACGGCCAGCGCGCGGCCGCCGGCGAGGGCCTGTGCCCTGCGGAGCTTGGCGCCTAGGGCGGCAGCCGCGGCCGTGAGCGGTGTCGCCGACTGCGACAGCATCCATGGGGCCGACGAGAGGAACAGCGGACCGCCGGACCGGATGGGGACATGGGTGTGCACGGCGCTGGCGGCGGGGGAGGCGGTGGCAGTAGTGGTGGTGGGGGAGGATGAGGCGAGGAAGGTGTGGAGGGAGAGGAGCGGCCTGGGGTTCGAGATCGGGGTGGCGCGCCTGCGTATGAGAGGGCTTAGGGTCTTGAGGAAGGCCATGGCCGTGGATCGCGGAGCATTGCAGTGGGTATCGCCGTATCGGCCCCGGCGGTCGGAGCAAAGAGACCTTCTTGCGCCGGGGGTCAGGCTGTCTCCTCCAACGCTAGGCGAATCGCGGGATCAAACTCAAAATGAGTCTCTAATATATAATAGTTGTAGGCTCCTAAATCTATTTATAGAAAAAAAAATATTTTTTTGTCTGGTTGTTGAAGAAGATTAAAATAGGTATTAAATTCTTTGTATGTAGCGATACCCAAAGAACGAATCAATCTTGTATTTTAGGTTGTGGTTCTTGGAGACAGTCAGGCTATCTCTAACAACATTATCCAAAATACAAAACTCATTTCACGTTTGGATAGCGCTACAAGTAAAGGGTTCCATACCTATTTTGGTCTTCTCCATCAGTAGAACCTAAAAAAGAACCCTTTTTGTAAATGAGTCTCTAGAAAAAATGATACTCATATTTAAGTTATGTTTTTACTGTAACTCAAAATGAATCTCGCATATGAGTACTCTATTGGATATGGATGTTCATATAAAACAACCATCGGAGACAGTCTCACAGTTTGGACTTTGGGTCTTGGGGGTTTTGAGAAGGAAAGTTGGACTGTGACGCTATTGCTCTGAAATGTTGGGATCCGACACAAATGTCATCAAAAAGAGTGTAATTTTTTTAAATTTAAGATATTTTAATTTAGTAACGTGCTAGAATTACGTTATTTATAGACTGAAGGATTAGAGGCGGAGCAAGGGCCTGATCTGCCTGGGCCACAGCATAGAGCCTCACATTCCATAAGATAAAGATAGTCCTAAGAATATAATGAAAATTCGGTTCATTTTCAATCAACTCAGCGCTTCTTGTCTAATCCAGCATCTCCTTTATAGCCTTTTCTGACTCTGGCACTGAGTACTCTGTATTTGTAACCTTTGGACGGTGCATGCAGGTTTTAGCAAATAATATGAATCTAGGTCAAACATGAGACTTAGACTTCTACCTGAAAGCCCTTCAAGAAAAAATCACAATACCACTATGCGAGGAATGTTTACAGAACATTCAAAATACAATGAATCGTCTCCTCTTCACATGCGACTTACAAACTGTATATATAGAGTAGACAAAACCGGGTGCAGCCAAACACGGAACAAATATCATGGGCCAAGAGTTCCCGCAAAATTCTATTAGAATTTGGATTATCTTTAACGGTAGGCATGCAACCCCTTTTTAGGAGTTGATTTTGCTAGAGTATATAGGGATATTCGAAATACGGTATATCATGATCGTTTAACAATTTGTCTTATCTTTGAGGGATGTTTCTCGCTTCTAAATTGAGTCTTATCCACTTAACTAACTCGATTTAAGCTAATTAACCTTGATAATCCTTGGAGATGAACCTCCACTAGCACAAATACATGATCATAGTTATTAAATATACAATGACCATCAAAATTCAAATTAACTCAACACAACAACACATACCTAACAAAATAAACTTATAGTTACCAAGTTGATATGTCTCGAAATGTCTTTGGTTACAGCAAGTTAGTGGCCCCATTTATTAGTCGAACACAAGTTGCCTTCGACGCTCGCTCTTTTGTTCTTCGTTTAAGAATCACTCTACTATCTCTAGGCTACCAACCTATCCGCTCTTATGCCACCGACCATACTGAGTTTTGCTTAGTAGCCATTACTGTTTTCGGCAACCACTGAAATAACTTATTGGTAGCATCACGAGTACGAGTTGTACTCATAGGACTTACCCACGTTTATATAGTATATAGTATGGCAGATCAAAATCATAGGTAATGGTAGGATGCAAAACCATAGCTATAAGCAAGAATGGCATTTTGATCATATTATGCAAGGAAGATAGCATGGTATAAGAAGATTGACATAAAAGGACTTAAGCAACATGAGCGACTCGAAACTTCCATGAGTTCCGCATCTCTAAAATGAAGTTATACATTAAGAGTTTGCTTGTAACCAAGACCGCAACAATTCAAATTGATCTTTAACCCTACATGGGTGTACAACTTTTCCTATACAAAGTGCAAGACTGAATCTCTATACCCAAGGCCACAACTAAGAGTTGATTTATGGCCTCAACCTTTTAAAATTATATGGCCAAGACGACCAATAAATAGCTGTAATGGTCACTGGTACCAGTTTCTCATTCAACTACCCCTCACTCGAGTGCGCTCTGAATCCACGGAGAGAACCGATCACAACAAGCTACCAAGCAAGAATAGCCCGGCCTGGCAAGCGGGCACACGTGTGGGCTTCGTTTATTCTTCCTCACACTAGACTTGAGGAAGTAGAAAGGACTTTCATATTTAAGAGAAGTAGAAATGACTTTCATATTTAAGTATAACAATATATCTCTACTTCCATAAATAGTTAAATACGATGGGTATTCACACTCCTCTTTGCACATATGAATGGGACCTAGCCCCTTTATTCTAACAGTTGATTGGAGCAATAGCATAAAGAGAAACCAATAAAACGAAAAGGCCGGCAATAATAACTTGCAATAATACCGTAGGGGATGTGGCCTTGACAGATGCCTCAAAGCCCATATGTAAGCACTTATAACTCTCATTCCACCGAACATCATCCATAACACCTAAAATCTTGTAATCGACGATAGTAACAACATGTCTCAACTCACACATGCTCGGCGTTACGGTCAACATGGAAGCCGAGAGAGGCGTCATATGACGAAGGTTCTTTGCCATAGGTTAGGTAGCACGACTTGGGCTCGGGAGCAGCGCCAAGAATGCAGAGGCAGCGGGGACGCGCATTTGCGGGGATATCAAACGCGCGGAAATGGCATAGGCCTCCCGGTCTCCCAGCGGTGTTTCGCAGGCATGGTGAACTGGACGGGGGATGGGAAAAACAAGAGATAGTGTACAAATATAGATATAGATACAGATATATAGATATATATAGAAGCTACTAGAAGAAGATTTTTTTTTTGATCCAAGAAGAAGAAAAAGATGAAATATGTACCATTACATCACCACCCTCGAGATCAGTGGTCAGGTTTATTGTCCATTTGAGTTGAAAAAGCCGTTAACATCTTGCAATATTTAGGCGACAGTTCTCACCGGAACGGACAACGAAGAGCACTCAGCACTTTGCCAAATTTGGCTCGCGCCTTCCAAACCCACGTCCAGAAAAAGAACACGATTCCCGTCCACAGACTCGGCCCTCGTCAGTGTAGAAGTATCCCCAAGAAATCCGGCCACCCTCCTCGCGCGGATCGACCCGAGGGTGCCCCGCCCACTCTCGCGTCGATCCCGCGATGGGCCTGTTCTCATCGGCCGCTAAGAGATGCAGCAACGGCAAGAGGTTCCTCCGCAGCGCGGGCGCGTGCTGCTGTTCGCCGTCCGCCGCCTCCGCCCCTGCAGGTGGTGTGCGCGGCAAGGAAGAGGCGTCGACGTCAGCACCGGCTTCCGCGCCAGCAGATAGCAAGAAGAAAAGGTGGAGGAAGAGGAAGTTCTGGAGGAAGAAGAAGAAGGCCAAGAAGGAGAGCGGCGATGGCAGCGGCGAGCTCGCGGACCTCGTCAACAACATTTCGGCCAAGTCGGGTAAGCCAATCCATCCAACAGCCACTGGTACGCATGCAGATGCAGATGCAGATGCCCATATGCGTGCATGGCTAATGCTACGCTTGCCGGTACGTGCTGCGCACTGCAGACGTCTGCAAGAACGTGAATGCGGCCGAGGAGATCCTACGGAGCAGCAACCAGAACATGCCCAGCAGGGCGCTGACGTTCAGCCAGCTGGGCGCCGCGACCGACGGGTTCAGCGAGCAGAACCTGCTCGGAGAAGGCGGCTTCGGCCGGGTGTACAAAGGGCTCCTCGAGGACACCAGAGAGGTTATCGCCGTGAAGCAGCTGGACAGGAACGGGTTCCAGGGCAACCGCGAGTTCCTCGTGGAGGTGCTGATGCTCAGCCTCCTGCACCACCCGAACCTGGTCAAGCTGCTCGGCTACAGCACCGACTCCGACCAGCGGATCCTGGTGTACGAGTACATGCCCAAGGGCTCGCTGGAGGACCACCTCCTGGACCTGCCCCCGAACTGGAAGCCTCTGCCGTGGCACACGCGGATGCAGATCGCGGTGGGCGCGGCCAAGGGCATCGAGTACCTGCACGAGGTGGCCAACCCGCCGGTGATCTACCGCGACCTCAAGGCGTCCAACATCCTCCTGGACAGGGACTTCAACGCCAAGCTCTCCGACTTCGGGCTCGCCAAGCTGGGCCCCATGGGCGACCAGAGCCACGTCAGCACCAGGGTCATGGGCACGTACGGCTACTGCGCCCCCGAGTACGCCATGACCGGCAAGCTCACCAAGATGTCCGACATCTACAGCTTCGGCGTCGTGCTGCTCGAGCTCATCACCGGCCGCCGCGCCATCGACGTCGCCAGGCCGTCCGAGGAGCAGGTCCTCGTTCACTGGGTGAGTTGAGTTTCGTTTCGTTCCACGTACAGAAAACGCAGGCAGATGCAGCGCCAGATTAAAGCGATTGCGGTTACCGACCGATCGATCGATCGAGAATCATATACATGCAACGTACGTGCAGGCGTCGCCTCTGCTGAGAGACAAGAGGAGGTTCGTGAAGCTGGCCGATCCGTTGCTGGGCAGGAGGTACCCCGTGAAGGGGCTGTACCAGGCGCTCGCCGTCGCGTCCATGTGCTTGCAGGAGGACGCTGCCAGCCGGCCGGGGATCAGCGACGTCGTCGCGGCGCTCTCGTTCCTCGCCGACCCGCAATACTACCCTCCCGAAGGCATGCAAGCTGAGCACAAGAGCCCAGATCGAGGGTCAGACAGGGATAGCAGTCCCAGTCCTCCTAAGGCCGACATGATCAGGGCAGACGACGAAATGAAGCATAGATGACCGTAGGAGGGAGCTAAGCTAACGGGAAAGGGAGGGATTGCAGAGCTGTCTGTCTGCTCTCTTGAATCTTCTTTCTGTAAAACGTACACCACGTAGGCAGGATGTAACACCATTCAAGGAGTTATCTTGACTGATGCTGGTTTTCAGCAGCAATGCAGCATGAAGTTGAGCTAACTGTTCCACACAAATTACTCACTAATGACGCAAAGTGAGTGGTAAGCGGTATTGGCCCCATTCGCGTGCCCTTAAACCCGGCTTGATCCGCTTCTTTTTTTCATCCGGAACAGTGTTCTTCTCTCACAAATTCCTCTAGCATTCCTCCAAACCATCCAAATTTCTCTAGCCGAACACCCCCATTGTGATTGATGTTGTAGTTCTTGCACATGGTTTAGCTTGGGGATTGCCGATTTCTTGGACTCTGAAAATAGAACTTTCCGGAGATCAATTTTCAACTGCCCACGAGGCCACGCCCCCGGCAGGTCCACTAGTAGCTGACTACGTACTGGACTTCACATTTTGTTATGTTTATTACAAATCTTGCTGGTAGACTGGCATTCGGAGTAAATGAGAAGCAATAATGTTAAATCTATTCGAACCAACGCATGCACTTGAACAGTTCTGTGTAAACCAAGGAATAAAATTCTAAAGCCAAGAACAGACGCAACACAAACTTACAAGCAATGTCTGCTGCCAATCCACTTATTGCTATCTCTCGCGGAAAGAAAGAAGCTGCTTTTTTTTTGCATGGTAAACGAACTCTTCAATGCATCAGCTCAATCTTGACGCCTCCGACCTTCACCTTACCCTTGCCTTGCCGCGGCACGAGGGTCACCACCACGCTCTCGTCGCCTTCGGCCTTGAGGTCCTCGAGCTGCCCGTTCAACGCGAGCCGCAGCTTGGTCTTGATCCCTCTCCCCTTCTTCCCGTGCCCGTGCCCGTGGCCATGCCCGTGCGGCACGTTCACGAAGCTCCCCGCGAGCTCCCTCCCGCCCGATCCCACCGCGGCGTGGTCCTCGGTGTTTACGAACACGTCGAACTTGGCGGCCACGTCCCTGTCCACCTCGATGCCGTCGATGACGAGCACCTCCTCCTTGGACGCCTTCTCCGCCTTGCTCCTCTGTACCGCGACCGGCCTCTTCACCGTCACGCTCGTCGCCTCGTCCAGCGTGATGGGGAACTCGCCCGCCTTCTTGGCGGCAGCGCCGGCGGCGGCCTGCGCCGAGGGTGCGAGGAACGAGTCCGCTCTCCGCGCCGCGGCGGTCACGGTTGGCCTGGCGGCCGTCCACGGCAGCGGCACGTCCTGGTACCGGTACCGCAGCCTGTCGATGTCGAGCACGTCGCGCACGCGGATGCGCACCAGCTTGGGGGTCTCGTCGTACAAGAGGAAGGAGGCGTCTAGCCAGTCCGGGTCGGTGAGGTCCGTGTGGCGCCGGGCGTCGAGACCCTTCCAGATGGACCACATGCGGTCGATGTTGGCGTGGTGCGCGTAGAAGAGCGGGTCGAACCCGGCCGAGTAGAAGTTGCCCATGTCCTCGCCGTCCGGCTGGTTCGGGTCGCCGCACCAGATGTGCACCGGGCCATGCGGGATGTTCTCCACCGGCCCTGGCCCCTGGTTCGGCTCGTCGCCGGCGCGGTACGCGCTGCCGAAAAAGAGCGACGGCGTCGGGCTCAGCGATACCATCTGATCACCGAACATCATTTTTGTCACGTCACAAAGTTTTTATCAGTTTTGATTTGACAAGATTCCGAGACCATGTTAGGATTCTTTTGTAAGTTCATAACAACAATGTAACCACTCGTTACCTGACGGTACATGACCCTGAGGTTGTGATCAACCTGCTGTTTGTCAGTGAAGAACCTCGGCTCCCTCCCGTTGTAGTCGAGATTGATCAGCTTCGGCGGCGCGTGCCGGCCGTCACGCCGCGGATCGAACAGCTGGGACGACGGATCCGCGTACATGGCCGGCATGCGCATCCCGTCCGGCGCGTCCCAGTTCCAGAACGGTACGGCGAAGCTGGGGTCGCCGATCAGGCTGCCCAGGATGCGCTCGAAGAAGTAGAGGTAGCACCGGTGGAAGGGGAAAAACAGCCACGAGTTGTGCACCTGGAGCTCCACGCCGGGGAACCCCTCGGGGCTGTACGACCCGTCGCAGTAGGCGCAGTGCACGCTCGCCTGCGCCGCGAAGCTACGCGGGTCGTCCGCCGGGAGCGCCTTCATCGCCGCGATCCCGGCGTTGAACTTGGCGACGTAGTCCGCGGTGACCGAGTGCGCGGCGGGGCGCGTCCGGAGCGGCAAGGACGTGGCGTCAGGGAGGGTGAAGTCCACCGGCAGAGCGTTCGAGGGCGGCGGGCAGCACGTCAGCACGTTGGCGCTCGGCGGAAGGTCCGCCGGGCCGCATGAAGAGATGTCGGGCGTGGCGACGGGGTCGGCGCCGGCGCGGCGCGCGGACACCAGGGTGGCACTGGCACTGGCACCGAGCGCGCCGAGGCCCAGGAGGACGTCGCGGCGGTCGTGCTTTTGGGCGTCATGCTCGGAGCGTTCGCCGCCTCTGGGCGATGCGCACGAGACGCGCTGGACGGTGACGCGGCGACGGCGAGGCCTAAAGCCGGAGCTCGTTCTCGGAGAGGATAGAGGAAAGGTGGCAGCTGGAGCTGGCTTAGCAATTAAATGCGACATGGAGGCCATGTCCGGTTAAACTTGCAGAGCGCAATGGGTTAGCAGCTTCGGAGACGATGCGACATATATAAGCTGGGCGCGGTGCAGCCTGTGCTGCATCGGCGACGAGGGAAGTAGGGACGTGCGCACGTGGGAGTGAACAGCGAAGGAAGACGGCGTAGGACGCCATCCCTAGCTCGTCAAATGCTGCATGTGGAGGGAGATACGGCCATGCGGGGCAGTAGCTAAGTTTATTATACTGTCTTCGTGGATTCGTCGGTGTGCACGTCTGCTTTGAAGATTTGCTAGACAAGCGGTGCTAATTTTGATGCTGAGTTTTGACTGAGAAACAGCTTTTTTTTCTTATAAAAAATGAACTGTGTAAACTTGTGTGGTGCGGCCATGCCCAGGGAGTCAAAGGAATCTGTGCACTCCTATGTCTGAAGCGTCAAATTGTGCTGATTTTTTACACTTTGGGGTGTTTGATTTGAGAAATATGGTAAACCCATTGTTTTACCACTTCTTAATTACTCTGTGTTTGCTTTGCGGAATGGAATGTATACAAGCTATAATTAGTACATGTAAGCATTAGAAATAATATTTCATCAAATTTCATTGGATGCACCATCGCATTTAGAATGGGGCGGTTTCTCAAACCAAACACCCTATTGAACTACATACTCACCTCAAGTACCACCACCATGCCCTAGAGTTTAAAACTAGTCGGCATGACAAAATTTGAATGGTCTGGATGTTACTAGATCACCTACTGAGGCCTAGACATAGCTCGGATCAACCGAACCAATTAGCCCATATAACCCTTCCTGGTGTTTGTGGGGAGGTAATTTATGCCTAGCAAGTTTTTTTTATAAGGTACCATGAGCATTGAGATCACTTTAAGTCACTATTCTACGACCCCTCACTCTTGATAATATAGTTGCGTGTCTGTTGAAGAATGAGTCGACGACACATAAGCAGTAGTTTGGTTGAGGAAATGGAAACCACCAAAGTCATAGCGAAAAACGAGCAAAGATGTTCTTATCTAATGGAAGGCTCTTAGATAAGATGAATCTGCAATACACTAGAACACCCTTGTTGACTTACTATGATAGCATATTGGGTTCACTGAATAATGCAAAACAACTCATTTTTTATGAGAAGCTTGTGATTAGTTAGGGCTTGCTTCTATTGGGTCTGGAGTTGGTCAAGTGTTGCAGGATAACCTGTAGAAGGTATCACGAGACACATAAGCAAATCTTGATCGGCAAAGATCATAGTTCTCGATTGAACACCCAAAAATAATCAAGCAGAACCTCGTGATTAGGCATTCTTTCCCCAAGATTGTAGCATTAACTATTTATTGTGTAAACCACCAAGGTTTTCCTCCGTAGAGTGTGAGTCATGGCCTAAGATCATGCTGAAAGGTGTAGGCCTTGGTCATCGGGCTGAGCTGGCCCAAGCACGGCCACCACCGGGGTGTGTCGTGCTTGGGCCTCAAAAAAAGAGTTTCGTGCTAGGCTAGAGGGCCGCGGGCTTTCTGTACATCTATAGGACCAACAACGAATATTGGATGTCATTTTTCAGATTAAGAATACCTATCTCGTTTTTAGAAAAAAATACCTCAAAATTTGGTAAGGGTAGAAGAGATGGGTTATGAGCGTCATTTGAAAACCCTAAGTCGAAGGGATGCCAACTCTCTATATGCTAGTTTTTTGTTGTATCCTACATTTTTGCTACCAGTGAGGGAATAAGCACTCTATATTTACACTTCCACTGATGTGGCATGACACATCAGACTGCCTCACGTGGAGCACCGCCAACTATGGATGACGAGGCACGTGAAAATACCCATTTACCCCTTACACGGTTCCGTTTTCTCATTATAGACTATTACTGCCATGTAGGCCCTAAAGCATTATCCACCTCAACCATTCCTCCAGCTCTGTCGTGCGCTCACTCACCCACGTCTGCTTGGCAGTGTTGCTCTCTTGCGCTCTAGCTCACACCCGCCGTAGAACCACCATTGCCGTGGGTAGGGGCCAAGGACACGATGTTGGTAGAAAGTGGCCTTCATGACGACATGTCCTCCTTCCTACGACAACTGCAGGATACGCTCGACGCGATGTTGAAGAATGGCTTACCTCAGCCCGTAAGACTATGGCACCTACGAGAGCTTCTCCATGATGCGATGCCCTGCGACACTTTGACCTTGCTGGCCACGACCTTTCATTGGCTAGTGGCCGTCGATAGATCTTGGCATAGTTGGCCATCACCTCTACTGGGAGCCGATGTGGACCGGCCATGATAGCTGCACGTGCGAAGCTACGAGGATGAGGGTAAAGAGAACATTTTTCATGACGTGGGGTCATTTTTAATAATGACACGTCCACACTGGCTACAAACACATGAAGTTTCAACTCAGAAAGATAAAAAAAACATATTACTTTCTATTTCTCTAAGGCTTCGTTTAGCATAGCTCCACTTCACTTGTGAATTAATTTTTTTTTCTTTAGCTCCGTGAGCAGCTTTATCAGTGGATCGGAGAGCTCTTCGAATGAATGGCAGAGTGGGACATCGAAGAACACGTAGGATGGTAGAGTGGGGCAGAGTGGGACATCGAAGAACACGTAGGATGGTAGACTGGGGCAGAGTGGGACATCGAAGAACACGTAGGATGGTAGACTGGGGCAGAGTGGGACATCGAAGAACACGTAGGATGGTAGAGTGGGACAAGTAGACAGTAAGCTGAGTCAAGAAGAGATTTCACTCGCGATCAGGGTTGACCACTCACCCCGAGTTCTAAACCCTAAACCTGACGCCGCCATGGCCGCCGCCGTTCGCCACATCGTGCGTCGCCGTCTCTCCACGGCCGCCACCACCACACCGGTCCCCACTCCGGGCTCCGTCCTCAACCCGTCCTCGCCGAGCACTCCCCTCACCTCGCGAGAGAAGACCCGACTCGCCATCTCCCTCCTCAAGTCTTCTCCGCCGCCTCCCCCCAACCAGATCCTCTCCATCTGCCGCGCCGCCGCGCTGACCCCGGAGACCCACATCGATCGCATCGCGCTGTCGCTAGCCGCATCAAAGCTCTCCTCCGCTCCGGACACCCTCCGTGACCTCGCCTCTACCGTCCTCACCCCGCGCCACGCGCCCCACGCCATCGTGCTCTTCGGCCAGGCAAACCTCCTCCCCGACGCCATCTCCACTTTCCAGTCCTCCCCCTCCACCCGCTCCCTCAACGCCCTCATCTTTGCGTGCATCGTCTCCGGTAACCACACGGAGGCCGCCCGCGTCTTCCAGACATTCCCAGACGCCCATGGCGTCAAGCCCAACACCGAGACCTTCAATGCCATCATTAAATCATTCGCCGAGTCTGGCACCATAAGGTCCTTTTACTCGGTTTTCGATGAAATGTGCAAGAAGGGCTTGAAGCCCAACGCCACCACGTTTACCACTGCGCTCGCTGGTTTCTACAAGGAGGAGAGGTTCGATGACGTCGGGAAGGTATTAGAGCTCATGAAGAAGAATGGATATGGTGAGTCCCTGCCGGTATACAATGTGAGGGTGCAGAGTTTGTGCAAACTTGGTCGGAGTGGTGAGGCGAGGGCATTAGTGGACGAGATGGTGAAGAAGGGCACAAAGCCAAGCTGGGTGACCTACAATCATCTGATTTATGGATTCTGTAAGGAGGGGGATTTGGAGGAAGCAAAGCGTCTGTACAAGGAGATGGGAAGGAAGGGGCTTGTCGGAGATAACAATTTCTATTTTATGTTTATTCATTACCTTTGTAAGGGTGATGATTTTGACACTGCCCTTGGACTATATAATGAGATAGCAGCTAAGAATTGGGTGCCATGCTTCTCGCTCATGAAAATGCTTGTGAATGGACTTGCTGGGAGCTCAAGGACCGATGAGGCAAAAGGGATCATTGAGAAGATGAAGGAGAAGTTCCCAGATAAAACTGAGGGGTGGAAGGAGGTGGAGGAGGCATTGCCTCATTAGAGTAAAACATCGATGATCTCTCAGGTATTCTTTTCCTGATGGAATGCATAGCAAAGTGAAGATAGAGGGAGAGTTTAATTTACATGTTTTGTAATTCAAAATAATAGTGCTGATAGGATGACTATTCTGGTTTTCTTTTTAATCTATTTTTTTTGCACATGAACATTTTTCTACTCATCCTTTTATGAAATGCATTTCTGAGTTTTTTTTTTTGCATAAATTCCAGTTGTGGTGGTGCCAAAGTGATATATTGCTGTAGGGCTCGTATATACAATGAGTTGTAGTACAAGATAGGTGTTTCCTTTTATGAATATGGTTAAAAATAGTATATGAACTACATTATGACTACGAGTTCATGACACTATCTGTGATTCTTAGTCTGAGCCTGCATGAAACAAAGAGACTAAGAGAGAGCTCCATCGCCCACTCCTTTGCGTGTTTCAACTTTCAATGCCATAACTTGATGCTTGTTACTCATATGTTGATTGCTTCCACGATTGGTCACAATTCACAGTACATGTGGATTTCAGTCAATAATTGTTTCATTTGGGAAGAACCTTGTATCATTTAGACTTCAGATTGTGTGATTTGAGGACTTCATTTGTGTTGAAAGTTGAGGGACTTCTGAATGTATGGTCTTACACTATTGATAGAATCTTAGAATTAGGGTTCATCATAATAAGAATTAGTATTCTTCAAATTTATTTTTCTTAACGAAATTTGAAATTTTAATTATACTAGATAGTATAGTGGATTTTATGAGGTAAACTTTATTGTTCTGGAAATATCAAATTTCTAATAGAGAATGTGAAGGCAAATTTTGGTGCACTAGTCTACTACAATCTCCTTCATAGCTGGTATAGCCTTCTAACTGCTTGGAAAATTGTCAGGTTTTGTATGTCAACTTTCGTGTTAAGTATAAACTGTTTTGAGCTAACTTTAGGGAAACTACTATAGTTTCTTTTGGAATATAGGGTCTTCACTCTAGAAAACAATTTAATATTGGACTTCTTTTATGCATATGGCTTCCACTAAACCATTACGCTCCGTTTGGATGTCGATATTGGAGGCCTTGGCATTGAATTGGCTTCAATACCAAATCAGAGTAGTATTGGTATTGGGTTACAATACCAAAACCATTGTTTGGATGCAGATGAAATTGCTAGATGGAATCGTAAGGAGCTAGTGAATACCGATTCGTGTTTGGATGTTCATACCATGGCATTTGAGAATTGACCATCTTCTCCTCCTCTCCACACCGGACCACACTGGCGGCGGCGCTTTCTTGTGCCACCCATGACTCGTCGGTCCCGGGCGGAGCTCCCCCACGCCGCCCGCGCCTCGCTGAATGGGCACTGGAGCGGCGCGAGGCGTGGGAGCTGCATGGCTCGCTGGCTGAGGGAGGAGGGGGGCGGCACATCTCACCGGTAGAGGGAGGATGGTGGCCGCGGAGGGAGGATGGTGGCCGGCGGAGGAGGACGGGGGCTGGCGCGCCTCACTGGTGGAGGAAGGACGGGGGATGGGGGCGGCGTGGCGTGCCGATGGAGAGTGGGGCACTGCCGGAGTCGAAGGGGAAGGGGCGCCGCCGGAGTCGAGTGGCGGGAGGGAGACGTGAGGCGCGGCGCAGCGGGGGATGCAAGATGGAGACGAGATGAGTGCCAATGCCGATGAATGCGGAGGGGAAGGGGTCTGAATTGAGGGAGGGGGTGCGGCTGAAGGCCCAATACCTCTTGGTATTGGAGGACACCCAATGCCAATTCCTAATTCCAGGCTTCAATATCTACACCCAAACGGGGTGTTATAGTTTAAAGTGACATCTTAATACAATTTGTGTTTTCAACATGTAAAAATATGCCTTTTGATCCTTTAAGGATAAACTAAGCATCTCAACCCTGTAATATGAGATATGTAGGAAAATCTAGATCCAGCTGATCCGTGCACCTGCTTTTCTTTGGAGAAAATAATGGGTTTCCTTAAACTACTATTTGAGCAAGCAAACATAAAATTATTTAGTAGCTTTGGTGTATTGCTCCTCTGATCTTTCTTTTTTCATGAAAATGACTTCTATCAATTATCATTCATGAACATCAAGGAAACTGGAACGAAATTGACTAGGTTAAGTTATATACAGGATTTCAATTTTTTTTAGTTTTTTTATAAGGAACAAGATTTCAAGGTTTGAAATATATTAGTCACACAGACATCGTTAGACTTTTATTGGCACACATGAATTTTGGCAGGGTTTATGCATGTATTTTTCACGCTGGTAAGCTGATTATAAATGTATTTATGTTTACATTTTGGGTTCTGCCAACTTGATTTTTTGGTGATACAAACTTGCTTTTTTGCTGATTCTTTACGATGTTATTTGCCTGATGCTTGGATCTTCTACCCTGTCACCTTTTTTTTTGTTTTGTTTCTCTTGAAATTAACCAGTACTGTTATTAATTCAATTTATTTGGTAAATGATTATTTTCAGAAAATATGCCAGTGCTGAAGACATTGTTGATTGGGAGTTGGGACTGCATCTATATTTGATCAGCTGTTTCGAGCATATGAAGCTATGGCCTGGATTCAATTTTATATAGATGTCGAGCATGCTCCAGCTGTGATGACAGATTAACAGTGGCAGCTGCAGGTTTTTCTTGGAGATGCTCCAGTTAATACGTTTTGCAAATTACAGTTTTAGTTCTGGGAGTTAGAGATAATAAAACTTGTTGGTTTTGCTCTGTCTGTTTCGTTGGCATGGGCTGAGCCTGTCACTGCCTATACGGACCGTGCGTCTGCAACATGTGCAGTTTATAAGTGATGCAATGTATGATGTAACTGTAACGACTTTCGTTTCTGTTTGAATGGAATGGAATGGAATTAATGGTTCTTCCCTGGAATTGTGTTTCTCGGACGTGTAACGTGTTGTATGTTTCATATTTGCATGCATATATGCACCATGTAAGCAGCCATATATGGCTGAATACAGGCTGCATATATAGGCAAAAAAAACCATATTTAGATAGAATGTAAACAATATATGCCCCATGTAAGCAACCATATATGCAGCCTGTATTCAGCCATATATGCCAATATATGCAGCATATATATTCAACATAGTCTCCAGTATCGCAATGATGAATGTCATGTGAAGGTAAATAACTATTTTGACATGAACATGCACGGACTGATTTAGATAGAATGATAGATGTCATGTGGTAAAAAACCAGATTTCGACATGAACATGCACAGACTGATTTAGATAGAATTTTGGATTAATCGTAGTTCATGGTACTAATCAACACTGAGTATAAAAACATAAATGAACACATAATTATGAAAGTTTTAGTTCATATAATCCACTTGCTCTTAAGCTTTCTCGGAGTATCTTGGAGGTGTTCCTGTTGTCGGCTTCATGTGAGGTTGAGGCTTCCGTGGTGCTGATTTCACCTGTTCGCTCTCCCAAATCCCAATAAAAAGAAAGTCGGCTACTCGGCTGAAAGAAGTTGGCCCTCCTCCCTTCTCTACGGCACCGGCTGCTGGAGAGTACCATTCCACGCGCCACAGCACCCCCTCACATCCCCATTTTCTTTGACGCTGCTAAATTTTGGAGTTAAACCAATTGCTGGCTAAGTAAGACATGACCAATATTTGGCTTGGCACATTGCTGGTAACAAACCAAACGTGCCAGCATATGCTTGGATTAGGACATTGATGTGCATCGGTAAGGAGTACTAGTATCATTCTGCTTTCATCTGATGAGCTTATATTATCTTATCTTATCATTGGTGGAACATATGTTTGATGCATAGGGTTAATGATTAACCAGTTAATGTTTAGCCATAGCTGACCTAATCAAGAGGCTTAATAGGTGCACAACTTTTTTAGCAAAATTAAAAAAATAATTGTTAACCGATTAGCTTACTAATTCTATAGTTCAAACTAACTTTTGGTCTTAAATACTTCATCCATCCTAAATTATAAGTTTTTTAATTTTTTTGAGAGTCAAAATATCTCAAGTTTGACCAAATTTATAAAATAAAATAATAACATTTATGATACCAAATAAGTATCATGAGAATTTTTTATTAATTATATTTTCATAGTATACCTATTTCTCTACAACTAAAATATTCATAAGAGAATCGTTGACAGGCGTGCAAAACAAATCATCGGTCGCCCCTGCTCCCTTAGTGCGAAACAAATCCCGACGCCTCCGCCGCTTCCCTCGGCTTCCTCTGCCACGCCCCCCCCCCTTGCGCGAAGCGCCGCACCGAGCGGTACAGCTGGCCATCGCATCGGCGCGAGCAGGTGGCCTGGACCAGGCGTGGCGGACGACGTGGCTAAGGCGGAGAAGGTCGCCGGGGACCGCCGGTTTCTCAGGCGCTCGCCGGGGCGCGGTGCAGCCAGGCCAGATCCGGTCGGCGCTCGGTCGGAGACGGCGTAGCTGAGGCGGAGAAGGTCGGCCAGGAAGGGAAGAAGGCCACCGCCGGCGGCGTCGTTCCTTGCTGTGGTGCGGCGACCGATCAGCACCTGCTTGAAAGCTAGCTTTGGCCATGGCTCATGATGCCGGCGACAGTGGCGGCAAACTCCCAGCGCCCGCGATGAAGAAGTCACCCGCCGAGGACGAAGCCGAGAAGAGGTCAGTCCCAGTTCACCCCCTCGTGATTCCTAAGCATACATGGCCCAAATCCGGTTCTAGATTTTTGCAATTCAGGCATTCCATTCGTTTGTTGAACTGCTGCAGAGGGGACAGTCCTGCGATGGGGACAGTGCGGCCAAGCTCGACTTCTTTGACCGATGGGGACAGTCCGCTCGGCGTTTGCGGCCTCGCCGGTCGGCAGGGTGCCGCGTTGTAACACCCCGGTGTTACGATTCTTTTCAGCGTCGCGATTTAGGCCTAAGTAAAACTTTCGAAACAAGTTTCTCGAATTTTTGATTAAAAAAACATACGTGAAGTGATAAGCGAATCTTATGAGTTTTAGTTTCGCGGACTCAAATTAAACGCTCAA